TTCAAAGAATTCTATGTGTTCTCATCATTTTTACCTTCCTTTTCCTCTCCAAATCATTCCCATAGTTATAAGACTCCCTCGGAAGGCTGTTTAAAATTTTTTAACGTCGTTTCTAAGTAATCCTGAAAATTCTTGGATGTCCTGAAACAGCTGGAAAGCCCTGAAACAACTGGGAAGTCCTGAAACAACTGGAAAGTCCTGAAACTCCTTGAAATTTCGGAATCTCTTTGGGAGCCCTGAAACAATTGGGAAGTCCTGAAACAACTGGGAAGTCCTGAAACAGCTGAAAAATCCTGAAACAGTTGGAAAGCCCTGAAACAGCTGGAAAGCCCTGAAACAGCCGGAAAGTCCTGAAACTTCTTGGAACCCCTGGAATTTCTTGGAAACGCCGGAAATTCTTGGAAACCCTGAATTTTTAGCAAAGTTCTGAGTTTCAGGACTTCCGAGGTGTTTGAGGACTTCCAAGTGGGTTCAGGGAAACCAAGGAGTTTCAGGGAGTCTTATAACTAAGGGAATGATTTGAAGAGGAAAAGGAAGGTAAAAAATGATGAGAACACATAGAATTCTTTGAAATTGTATCATTTATTGCCATAGATTTACATTATACAAAGCTTTAATACATATACAGGGTGTCCCAAAGATGTTGCGGGTCCTTAAAGGGGGTGATTCGGGGGATGATTGCAAACAACTTTTTCCTTTGTGAAAATGCTCTCCGGGGTTTCGTTAACGAGATATTAACAAAAAGCACCGACCAATCAGATCGCGCGCTTTCCGCCCGAGCTCCCATGCTAGCATGGCTACGCGCCGTGCTAGCGTGGCTATGCGCCGCGCTGCGACTTGTGAACAAGCAACTCGGCATGCAACGAGGAAAATTGCGTAGAATGGCAAATGAAAAAGGCGTAGCAAATAAAATCGAACACGTTGTCATGGTTTGTTTGTTATTTAAAGTGAATGATGAATAAAGGATAAATAGATGAAAATCACGTGTAACGTAAAAAGACGAATACACATTTTTTTTAGAGGATTCGAAAATAATAGTTATTTGAAGTGGGAGGATATGGAATACGTAAAATTCCTTGTGTCAATAACGTATCCACGAAAAGGAAATTAACGAAAAGTGATCGTAGTTCGTTATTGTGATATAAATCCGTAATTTAATAACGACCAGCACTGTTGCTGATAACGAATAAGTCTGTTTAAAAAGCCCGGATAAATATTTTCGTACGAGAATTTTAAGAATTATTGCCGGAAACAAGCCATAGCTTGCGTTAAATTTAAAAATGAATGATTACCAATAAACTGACTAAAACTCACCCTTGTCGAAAATGCACCTGTAACTTGAAAACTTGTGTCACTGGGTCACTGAACCGATCCTGGTCATCGATGGACGAGCCCAGTGCACAGCTGATCCCAGGTATACGACACTACCCAAAGTTAAGGGTCGCAATGTCAGGTGCGTCCAGGTCAACGTATCGAATATTCACTTCACTGCACGGCTACTAACACTGATCACTTTATTTTTTTGTCGTGAAACGTATTGTTCTTACGTTTTAAAAATTGGTGGCCCCGAAAGGGGCCGATTGTTATTAATGAAAGTATTGCTCCACATGACGGCCTCGCGGCATCATGGACCCCGTTGAATACAATCTCGACGCTAAGCGACGAAATGTATCCTCGCTTGGCGTTTGAATATTAGGGAATTCTAACGCAAATGCTCGCACAGCAGCACTTGCGTTCCCGTTGTTCCGGGCGTACACCCAGAACATCCTATAGTACTCTTGAGCCGTGTACATTTCTACGACGGGTTTGCTAGCTGACTGACAGGATTTTTTTCAAGCAACTTCCACTACCCCGAAATAGCTTCTCTCGTTCCATTATGAGTTAACTCCCACCAGGACAAAATTTAGAGAAAAAGAAACCAGCATTTGCTGAAAAAACACGTGGCCTGCAGAAGTGCAACGAAAACTTTCACAAAAGCCCGCGTTCTGTCCTTCTACTGCCATTGTACCCATTGCCTCGAGATAGAAAACATACACCACGTGTATCGGTTCGAAAGGGCCCGAAGAGAAGAGAAACAGAAAGTCTTCGAGTTGCTATAAAGAAGAAAATGCATACCATTCCTGTTTCACCTTTCCGATACCCTGAGTTTACGTCTGCTACGAGGCGAAACCAATTAAGTCATAAATTACGCGCTTAATTGGTCTGCGACTTAATACGCGTCGACGTATTCCGGACGAGAGATGGTGGACAGCGGTCCCACCTCTTCCTGTGTCTCTCCGCGAGGCGTATTGATGTTGGATAATAATCTGTAATTTCTAGTTCTCCAAAATTAATCAGGCTGATCAGCCAGAGCATTTCGCCAGGGTTGCGGTTTATGACCGTATTGTCCCGCTAGTCGGCGGTAGAGAACAGTTTCCTACAGTTTCGGATAATTTATGACTTTATGACGTAAGAACAATACGTTTCACGACAAAAAAATAAAGTGATCAGTGTTAGTAGCCGTGCAGTGAAGTGAATATTCGATACGTTGACCTGGACGCACCTGACATTGCGACCCTTAACTTTGGGTAGTGTCGTATACCTGGGATCAGCTGTGCACTGGGCTCGTCCATCGATGACCAGGATCGGTTCAGTGACCCAGTGACACAAGTTTTCAAGTTACAGGTGCATTTTCGACAAGGGTGAGTTTTAGTCAGTTTATTGGTAATCATTCATTTTTAAATTTAACGCAAGCTATGGCTTGTTTCCGGCAATAATTCTTAAAATTCTCGTACGAAAATATTTATCCGGGCTTTTTAAACAGACTTATTCGTTATCAGCAACAGTGCTGGTCGTTATTAAATTACGGATTTATATCACAATAACGAACTACGATCACTTTTCGTTAATTTCCTTTTCGTGGATACGTTATTGACACAAGGAATTTTACGTATTCCATATCCTCCCACTTCAAATAACTATTATTTTCGAATCCTCTAAAAAAAATGTGTATTCGTCTTTTTACGTTACACGTGATTTTCATCTATTTATCCTTTATTCATCATTCACTTTAAATAACAAACAAACCATGACAACGTGTTCGATTTTATTTGCTACGCCTTTTTCATTTGCCATTCTACGCAATTTTCCTCGTTGCATGCCGAGTTGCTTGTTCACAAGTCGCAGCGCGGCGCGTAGCCACGCTAGCACGGCGCGTAGCCATGCTAGCATGGGAGCTCGGGCGGAAAGCGCGCGATCTGATTGGTCGGTGCTTTTTGTTAATATCTCGTTAACGAAACCCCGGAGAGCATTTTCACAAAGGAAAAAGTTGTTTGCAATCATCCCCCGAATCACCCCCTTTAAGGACCCGCAACATCTTTGGGACACCCTGTATATCATGCCAGAAGTTGCCAGCAGCGGTCAGCTGGGGTCAGCAGGGGTCAGCAGTGGTCAGCGGTGGTTAGCGGTGGTCAGCAGCGGTCAGCAAAGGCCAGCGGAGGCTGGCAGGAGTCAGTAGTAATCGTTATACGTTGTTAGAAATATAAGCGGTGGTCAACAGAGGCCAGCAGTGGCTGCGAGATGCTGGAAGTTGCCAGTCGTAATCGTTATACGTTGTCAGAAGTATCCGGAGTGGTCAGCAGTGGTCAACAGATGCCAGTGGTGGCCAGCAGACACAAGCAGATATGGTAAGAGGCATGTAGAGACCAGAAGAGACATGTAGAGATCAATAGAAGCTTAGTTATCTGAAAACATATCAAGGAAAATCATTAGCAATTAATTGCTGCCAGAATTGATTCTATTGTCTTGTTCATAGTATAAGAATAGGAACAAAATTGTTTTTCCATTATGGTACTTTGCTTATGTAAGGCTACATAAGCCAAAAAGTAATAATGGCTGGGCAGTCGAGATTCCAAATCATATGCTGTATTTGTTAATGCAACAATAAAGTACTCAGTAATTTTAGATCACTTATAAATGCTTCGTAATTAACGCCGAAGGTCCAAAATTGTCTAGAACTTGTCTAGGACTATATGTATGTCAGTTTAATTAATAAACAGTGTTTAAAGTGTCTACTTGTCTACTTTAATGTCCATTTACTTGTCCGTGATCCTTCCTATGCAAAGGTTGAGCAACGTGTGACCCATCAGTGGTACATGATTTACGTAGCCATCCACGGCAAAACGCCCAAGTTTCGCGGAATAGTTCGTTAGTTTTAACGCTAGATGGCGCTTATTTTTTCGACCTCGAACCCTCTGGTGCTAAAACGCCCAAGTTTGTCGTGGAATAGTTTGTTATTTTCAGCGATAGATGGCGCTTATTTTCCGACCTCAGGCCCCCTGGTGCTAAAACGCCCAAGTTTGTCGTTGAATAGCGCCATCTAGCGTGGACGATACGAACTATTCCACGACAAATTATTCCTTATAACTAAAGGAATGATTAGAAGAAGAAAAGATAGGTAAAACTGATGAGAACACATAGAATTCTTTGAAATTATATCATTTACTGCAATAGATTTACATTATACAAAGCTTTAGTGCATATGTTAGTAAGAATAAAATAATTGCTAAGCGATCGGTGGACTCGTATAAAAGTCAACAAACGTTTTGACGTGCTCACGCGTTTTTGCCCACGACACACGTTTTTGCGAGACTAGACGACACCTCAAACATGTCTGATTGAGATAACAAATGTCGTAAAATATTGAACACGCTGTACGAATTAAAAGATTACTTGCAAAATACAAGTAGCTGGGAAACGAACAAAATACCTCGCTTTAAACATTCTTTCTCGTATGTTACATTCCACGATGATGTAGAGTTAAATTTCGCTCAAGAAATGAATAAAATAAACCGGTAAATTTGCATCGAAATATTCTAGGATTCTAGGGAATACGATTGCCTGAGCGCCACTTCGCTTTCTAACAAACGTTTGTAAGAAATGACAACACTGTAGATCCCAATAACGGCAACCCTGTACGCCCGGTGGGGGAAGAGATTTTCTATGTTTGCTAACTTCGATCTCGGTAGTTGAACGGGCTATATGTAGATCCTAAGATCACTGTTCATTAAACGAAGAGGTCGCTCGAAAACCACTAGTTTTTTACCAGGTCGGTACTTCAGCTCGTGCGCGATTTCTTAAATAGTAAAAATCTAAATTACATCTGTCACGCTAATTGAAAACGAATTTCCACGAAACGAACTAAGCATTTCAGCATTTTGGGTGTACAATTCACTATATCGAAGGCTCTTGGAACTAGGACTAGACAAATTTTTCTATACTCGATGCCGTATTTGAATAATATCTCATAGTCAACTTCCGTTTGCACATACTATGCTTTCAATGATAGGAAAAATTCTTTCGACAAAATAATTGACAGAAATATATAAATTTATCTAATATACACGAGTTTGGGCGATCTACGGTATTCGATCGTTACTCGGAACAGTAACCATTCGAATGGTTTCAGTCTTACTTGGAAACACGTTCGTCGAGCGAACGCTTCGTTTTTTTTTCCCCCCACAAAAAAATGTAAACTCACGGTGAAGTTCTTTAAAAAATTTAACGTGCCTGATATTTCATATGCTTTATTTCCAACGTAACGTAATATTATCAATATCTACCGGTGAAGTTACACTGGAATCCAAGCTCGCTTAATCTTTCTAGATAAAAGCGGGCGCGGCATTATTGCGCTTTACAACGGGAACTCGTTTCGGCTCTTGCATCAGTTGAACACGAGACGTCGGTGCCGCAGTTGTTCTTTGTGTCGCCTCTAACCTAACCTGTTGAGCGTCTCTGCGCGTCCTCCGAGCAACGTTTCATATTTTAACGGACAGTTTCGTCGCGAGTAACCCGGAGAAAGAAAATCAACGAAAATGGGTTGCGGAATGGGAATGATAAAATACCTGCTCTTCATATTTAATTTCATCTTTGCGGTAAGTCGAAACAATATCTCAGTAAAATACGAAAACGAACCGACTCGAACGGTTTATCTTGAACTGTTCGCTACGCACTATTCGATTTGCTCGAAGCGATCGAACATATTTTATTACATGCGTCGAGCCTTCGAACGAAAACGTACAAACTATTTATCGCACGTTGAAACGGACATTAAAGTTAATTTCTGCGTTACAAAGATTCCAATTATTCTTTCGTAGTTATGTAAAGGTTCGTCGGTGATTCGGAACGGGAGAAAGTTTTTACATTTAATTTTCTCCGTGCATCAATCTCCGCGCTATTTTTAAATTGATAAACATTTCGTTCGATGATACACGTTATGGTCGAGTTGCTTGTTTGCACAATTGTTAGAATTTTCTTTCGTTCCAATCTTTGGTCAGTCTCGTTAAGGATGTTTTTAAATTTAACTACCCGATATCGCGTCACGCGTGTGATTCATAACATTTTTGATACATAAATTATTCCGGTTGTTTTTTTACACGAAACGTTTCGTCGTATCGCGTGACGCATCGAGCGATCGAGTGCAAAAATTCGACGTCGCTTTAATTTTATTTGTAAGGTGCTCGGTATTGAAACAGCGACGATACCGTTGTGAGACGTGTCATAATTTCTAAGTCGGTGTTTTTTTCACACATGCTTGTTTAAACATACGCCAATGGAAGTGACACAGCCGTGAGTCATGCGATAAGGATATCGGTTATAGTTGAAAAAAACCCGATACTTTCGCGAGCCGTCATTGTTAATCCAACGCTTAGGTCATATTAAAGTAATTATCAGACGATTTCATTTGAATGTTTTAAATTATTGCTCAGCTTCGACGCGTTGAGTGGTATATTTGTATTATTTTAAAGTATTCGCGATGATATTAATGTTAGCAGTTACATTTCAAAAAAGTGTACGTCGAGGTATCGGTTAGCGGAAACCGACGTAGTTAAAACGGAAATAGTAATGGCGGGGGCCGATAGCTACGTCACGACATACAGTCTGTTAATTCTTTGACGTTGCATATTTAAATGTGAGAAACTTTAATGCAACAAATGTTTATTTTTAATATATTCATCGATAGGAAAATTATTATTCAGATGTCTGAACAATTTTTGTTTAGTTTCATTTGTTCGTTACTATTTTCCTTATCGACCTGGCAGTTCAAATATATGTATATCTAATCCATAGAAATTGCAATTTTGAATATTAATGTAGAAATTCTTTTCCAAGCATGATAGAGATCAAATTTGAACGTAAAATTTTAATGCACCAAATGTTTAATTTTAATATAATCAATGATACGAAAATTACTTTTCACGTGTATCAACAAATTTTATTAAGTTTTATTTTTTCTATCGACCTGGCAGTTCAAATATAGAGGGTATCCAGCCACCTCCGGGGAAAAAATTTTACTGCAAGATTCTAGAGGCCAAAATAAGACGAAAATCAAGAATACTAATTTGTTGATGGAAGCTTCGTCAAAAAGTTATTCACGTTTAAAATTCCGTTTCTATTGAATTTTTTTCTAGAAAATGGGTAGGATTTTAGGGGCAGGTCTATTCACCAAAAATGATTCTAATTAACCCCTGATACTAAAAATAATTTTTCTAGAATGATTTGAAATTTTTTATTTTCGTCTAAAAATGTCAATACCTACTCGAATTTTTTTTTCGAAAGTGGGTAGGATTTCGAAGGTACGTCTATTCACCAAAAATGATTCTAATTAACCCCTGCAACTAAAAATAATTTTTCCAGAACGATTTGAAATTGTTTAATTTTGTCGGAAAAATTTCACACCTTCTCGAATTTTTTTCTCGAAAGTGGGTAGGGTTTGGAGGGTACGTCTAATGACCAAAAACGATTGTAATTAACCCCCGCATCCGAAAATAATTTTTCCAGAACGATTTGAAATTTTTTAATTTAATTTTGTTAATAACTTTTTACCGAAGCCACCATCAACAAATTGCTATTCCTGATTTTCGTCTTATTTTGGCCTCTAGAATCTCGCATTAAAATTTTTCCCAGGGGTGACAACACCCTGTATATTCCTCCGGAGAAACTGCAATTTTGAATAATAATCTTGAAAATCGTGAAAATTCTTTTCCAAATGCGACAGAGATAATACTAAAACGTAAAATTTTAATGCACCAAATGTTTATTTTTGATATAATCATCGATAGGAAAATTACTTTTCACGTGTCTGAACAAATTTTGTATATTTTTATTTGTTCGTTACTGCTTGTTTTATCGATCTGGCAGTTCAAACGTATATGTATTACATATTCCTTCGGAGAAACTGGAATTGTGAGTAATAATGTTCGTAGAAATTCTTTTCCAAACGCGATGGAGATAAAACTTATATCGTGCTAGCTTATCAAATTTTACGTTTGAGTTCTGCCGTATGTTCTCAATGGTGACAGAAAAGTGGGTAAATGTATACCCTATTCAACTATTAAATAATCGATATAGCCATTCTATTTGTGTCAGGAGGGTGCTGTACTATTCGATGGAACTAGGTTCAACATTTCGAACAACTTCTGTGCATGAATTCTATATAAATTCACGTTCCCTCTCTTTTTCATAGCATACGGTATTTCTTTTCACAGAAGTTTTATCGAAACAAAAATTTATTATACAGGGTGTTCGGCCACCCCTGGGTAAAATTTTAATGGGGGATTCTAGAGGCCAAAATAAGACAAAAATCAAGAATACCAATTTGTTGATTGAGGCTTCGTTAAAAAGTTATTAACGTGTAAAGTTCCGCCCGTACTGAATTTTTTTCTCGAAAATGCGCGAAATTTCTGGGGTATGTCTATTCACAAAAAATGACTGTAATTGACCCCTGCAACTAACAATAATTTTTCCAGAACAATTTGAAATTTTTAAATTTTGTCGACAAATTTCACACCTTCTCGAATTTTTTTCTAGAAAGCGGGTAGGATTTCGGGGGCATGACTAGTCGCCAAAAATGATTGTAATTGACCCCCGCAACCGAAAATAATTTTTCCAAAACGATTTGAAACTTTTTTCGTTGAAAAATTTAGGCACCTAATTAGATTTTCAGTAAGGAATTTTTTTCTCGAAAGTGGGTTGGATTTCGGGGGCATGTGTAATGACCAAAAATGATTGCAATTGACCCCCGCAACCGAAAATAATTTTTTCAAAACGATTTGAAATTTTTTTTTGCTGTTGAAAAATTTAACACTTTCTCGAATTTTGTTCTAGAAAGTGGGTAGGATTTCGGGGGCAGACTATTCACCAAAAATGATTGCAATTGACCCCCGCGACCGAAAATAATTTTTCCTGAACGATTTGAAATATTACAATTTAATTGTTAATAACTTTTTAACGAAGCCTCCATCAACATATTGGTATTTTTGATTTTCGTCTTGTTTTGGCCTCCAGAATCCCCCATTAAAATTTTTCCCTGGGATGGCCGAACACTCTGTCCAAGTTCGTTGTTTTACGAATAAATACATTATCGTATTTAACAATAGATAACACTGGGCAGAACTAATGGTATCTTTGTGACATTACATAACGTATAATTCTTAGATTATTGCTTCCGGGTATTTTTTTTTTTTTATCATGATAAATCGACCTAGTGTTGCAAGACTATAAGTCATTGTTTCCGTGCGGTTTCCTACTTTTCGCTGCAGCGCGGCCGCGCGCGTCAGTTTTCTTGAGAATTAAATTTACGCGTTGACGAGTGACGTACTCGCGTACCATTGGTTTGCCAGAAAATTCCGATCAGTACTGCGTTTAAAATGGGAAAGAGGTAGAGAGAGAGAGAGAGAGAAGTCTCATCTCGCGTATTTTGGCCGAGACACACGCGCTACAGTTGCGTTTTTAGTGTTCGTTCCACGTTCGTCTCGTTCTCACTCCTCTCGTGCATCGTCTCGATCGCCGTTCCTCGAGACGTTACGATACGTTTTCTTTGTTTTTTCGCGCGATCGCGCTGAGCCTTCGAACAACGGACGATCGATTCCAAGGAGAACCGAGTCGAAATGAGCTGTGTCTTTAATTGTATCAAGTGGTTACTGTATATCTTTAATTTTATCTTTTCAGTAAGTAATCGATCTTCGTTTACCGATAATCCCGGGGGTCGAACGCTGTTTTACCGACCGAATTTTTTTAGATCGTTAACGCATTATTTTAACATCAGATAAAGAAAAACACATTCAGATAATATTGATAAGAGACTGGAAAATATTTTCTCGAATAATATTCGTTGATTTGGTTTTGTATCGTGCAGTAACAGTGATATTTAGTTGTTCCGGTCGTATCGTCTAGCAAAGGGGTAGAGAAAAACAGGAATAGGGGATGGTGGTGCAAACAAGAGAAAAAACACGTTTCAGTGTGTAACCTTCGCGGAGGAACGACTGGAATATTGGTTCGAAGCGACGTGTGTCTGCTTTGCAATGAAACTGCGTCATTTCTCCATGGTCAGAGGGGAACTGGATGTGTAATTCCGTTCTAAATTCCTCGTTTTACTCGGGGATCGTGTGCGTTACGTCATTCCCGACATTTTATAGCTTAATAAAATTGACATTAATATTTTCCTTTTAAACGAATGCCCAACGAAATTTAAAATATTCCGAACATCTCGCCTGCTTCGTGAAATCGGAAACCACCCTAACACCCAATTGAAGATAACGAATAAAGTTGATTAAAAATAACGAAACTTCATCGTGCGTTAAATTTCAGATATTTATAGATTATTCAGATTATATTGCAGTGTTCACAAAGCAAAAGATTCCCGCGGTTAATGTTTTCGTGACATCGTTGGTGTCTGCTAACCGAGAAATTATCTTGAGTTCTCTGCATTATGAGTCAGGTTATTAGTACTGACGCATTCTTTGTCTCGTGTTATGATCGTGTGAAATAAAATACTTTTCATAATTGAATCTAGTCATGCGATGTTTGCACATTTCGATAAGTACTTCATAAGAATTGTTACGTAATCCAAGACGTCTTTCGAATCAAACTGCGA